AGATGAACCCTTTGTTTGGGGAGAGGCCCAGGATCAGTCATTCAAAAAACTCAAAGCAGCCTTGATTTCGTCACCTGTCCTTAGGTACCCAGATTTTTCTAAACCTTTTACGTTGGTTACAGATGCTAGTGACATAGGTTTAGGTGCTGCATTACTTCAAACAGAAGGTCACAGAGATCACGCAATAGCTTATGCAAGCCGTACTTTATCTAAAGAAGAGAAAAATTATAGTGCAACAGAACGAGAAGCCTTGGCAGTTGTTTGGGCACTTAAACATTTCAAGGATACAATTTATAATTACTCAGTTCATGTTCTTACAGATCACCAACCATTAATTCCCTTGTTCAAAAATAAGAATCCAGTTGGAAAGTTTGCTAGATATTTGCTCACAATTCAAGAATTCAATCCCACATTTGGATATATTCCAGGAAAGCAAAATGTTGTAGCCGATGCGTTTTCTCGACACGTAGCTGCGATTCAGTTAAATTACCCAGCATTAGATGCTACAGTAGTAGAAACGGAACAAAGACAAGACCCCATATGGGCACCCGTCATTAAATTTTTGACTAAGCAAGACACTCGCCCGATTCATAAACCGCCAGTACCATTGAAAGAACTAGTTATGTTGGACAATTTACTGTGTAGAGTAGTAAAGCTAGGGACAGCCCAGAGGAAATGTTGTCAGTTAGTTGTTCCAGCTGTCTTGGTACCAACTGTGTTAAAAATTATCCATGATGCTCCTGCAAGTGCACATCCAGGTAAGGATCGTACACTCCAACAAGGTCGATTGAAATATTTTTGGCCAAAAATGGCTAAGGAGATTGCTCATTATGTTGACAGATGTTTAACTTGTTTACAGCACAAGGGACATGTTTCAGGACCTAATCCAATTCAGGTGTACCCAGCAACTAAAGCTCCTTGGGAACGAATATCAATGGATTTATTGACAAATTTTGCGGAAACAGAGAAAGGGAACAAACATTTGCTTGTAATGGTCGATAATTTTTCACGGTTTTGCGAACTAGTTCCTATCCCGAACAAAACAGCAGAAACCATAGCCAGCGCATTCCATGACCAAATAATTTGTAGATATAGTATGCCTAAAGTAATCCTTTCAGATAATGGACCAGAATTCAGTAATAGTATTCTAACTAGCTTGTGTGATTTATATAACATCAAAAAATGTAGCATTATGCCTTATCATCCGGCAAGTAATGGACTAGCTGAACGTACTAACAGGAAAGTGTTAGATGCCTTGAGAGTCACGTTGAATTTTGATAACAACAATTGGGATGATTTTATACCCTTAATTCAGTGTGCTATAAATTCTTCAATTAATGTTTCTACTGGTGACACACCTCACGCTATTCTTTATGGTACAGATAAGATCCTCCCTAATGAATTGATTAACGTACCTCCTACTCCCTTATATAACGTAGATGATTTTGTTCAAGTGAAGCGTAGACAAATGCAACTAGTATTCAAGAAAATACGAGAACAACTGTCCAAAGCAACAGCCGGGTTCACTCTAGCAAGGAATGCACGAGCTAAACCCAATAAAATAACTATTGGATCTGTAGTAATGATACTTAACCAACACAGGTCTGGTCCTATGTATAAGTTAACTAAGAAATTTTTGGGTCCATATAAGGTAATCGAGCTTATTAAAGGTAACAAATACAGACTTAAGAACTTGTTAACAGGAGAGTATATAAATGAGCATTTAGACCACATGAAGTTAGCTAAAATGACTGTTGACGAGACTGATGAGGAAGATGACAATGAACTTACCAAGACAGATACTCCTACTCAGACACCACCTTCTGTGGTTGACAGACCACTGGATGTTCAGCAACCCCATACTAGCAATTATAATCTTAGATCTAGACCTCTCGTTTCAACCGTGCACTCACCACATGTCCATTGGCTAGATTTTAACGAGGATATCTCTCAAGATGATAGTTTGTCACATGAAGTTTCATCTGTTCCGGACCTTCAGTCAGAGCCAGAGTTGTATAGTGCTCTGGATGAGCTAGGTGTAGATATCCGCAGAATTTATAATTGATTGCACTCTGCAGTTATTCTGTTTGTTTTGAAAAAAAAAAATCATTTGCAGTATTTCTACCACATGTGTCTTATTATTACCATTATATATAATGTATAGTTTTTCTCAACTTTATTTTGTTATGAATTAGATGCCACTGTTAAGTCTACTACCATTTGTATTTTTACAGTGCTTGTCATAAGAGTTATTATTGTTCTAGCAACCACATTGTGGCCAGTGAATTCTGACTACTATCACGCAGATGTTAGTCTTCTTGATCCAAGTCTTGTATATGCTTGTAAATATATTGCACATTATATATATTGTACATTGGTCTTGTAAATATATTGTATATTTCAGAGAAAACAAAAAAAAAAATGAGAAAAAAAGAAAATAATTATCTATCTTGAAATTCAATTGTGGTTGTTAGGTCAGAACTTTGTTCCATTAATGCAATAATTGTTTAATTTTGTATGGTTTTCAAGCACATGCCATTGACACATGTTAATAATTTTGTTTAGGCAATACCTTGAGTTGTATTGTTCATATCTGATCAGTAGACATACACATGTTCTTAATACTCTGGTTTAATCAAAGCATTGTTACCATGATTTTCACCTATTATGATGATTTTTTTTTTTTTGGTGCATATATGCCGAGTTGTTAGTATTACGCACACCTGATCTTTCAATGTTTTATTATGCAAATTTCACATGTAAGCCATTATTGAATGCCACCGAGGTCCTTTCAGTATCATTGTAACTATATAGCTAGCCAGAGCTTGTCGACAAGGGACGTCGACTTGGTAGCGTGTCCGAGCGGTGTTATACTCAAATTCTGTCAGTTGAAATGTAACCAATCACAGGCGAGTAGGCCTCTGACGTCATGCCAGACAGAGGAGCATCAGCGATGCTCCCAGCAGCCTCAGTTATCCTCACAGACTCAGAGTAGAAGGACCTCGGCTAGGCAGATATATACCTTGCTATCTCAGTCAATAAATATATACAGAAGCGACTACTGTGTCTACCTTCTACCCCGAACAAGGAAAACGAATACAGGTACCTATTTACTGCTAGATAACAGGACATAGGGTGAAAGAAACTCTGCCCATCATTTCTGGCCGTCGCCCGGGATAGAACCCGAGACCACAGGATCACGTGTCCAACGTGCTGTTCGCTCGGCCACCGGCTGTGTGTGTGTGTGTGTGTGTGTGTGTGTGTGTGTGTGTGTGTGTGTGTGTGTGTGTGTGTGTGTGTCTGTGTGTGTGTGTGTGTGTCTGTGTGTGTGTGTGTGTGTCTAGTAGAAAGTTAAAAGGCAAGTGCATATTCTAATGACTTAGAAGGCGAATATACAAATCCTCTTCTTCCCCCGTCTTCAGAAAATGAACCATATTCTCGCCCTCACCTACTGCACTCGTGCGTCTCAGGCCTCCAGTACTGGCCACCATGCAGCTGGCCCCGGGGTACCTTAGACCGGTACATTGTGATAAAAATGAGATAAAACATTTGTTTCTACTTGGGTTGAGACAGTTCTCTGGTTTGATGACTTGAATGAGATGATTCTTCAGCTTGAGAATACGGGATGATGTTGTATTTTAGTCTGAAGCAAATGAATACATAATGCACTTCATTGGGGTCAAAGGTGCGACGTTTTGTATTTACTTCCTCAGAAAGGATAAGGCATTACGATTGAATTTGTTTTAAATTGTCGAAAAAAATAACTATAAGCTGTTTCCTTTATAGAATATCTTCTCCTTGTCACCTCGTTCGTTAGTTTACTGTTTGTGGTGGTGGTGATTATCCAATCTTTTCTGTGATTAGACAATCCGTTTTGTGGTGGTGATTAGACAATCGTTCCTGTGATTAGATAATCGGTTTTGTAGTGGCGATTAGACAATCGTTTCTGTGGTTAAACAATCCATTTTGTGGTGGTGATTAGACAATCGTTTCTGTGATTAGATAATCCGGTTTGTCGTGGTCATTAGACAGTCGTTTATGTGATTAGACAATCGGTTTTGTAGTGGCGATTAGACAATCGTTTCTGTGGTTAGACAATCCGTTTTGTGGTGGTGATTAGACAATCGTTTCTCTGATTAGATAATCCGTTTTGTCGTGGTCATTAAACAATCGTTTATGTGATTATACAATCCGTTTTGTGGTGGTGATTAGACAATCGTTTCTGTGGTTAGACAATCTGTTTTGTGGTAGTTAGACAACCTGCATTGGCAGTAAGTCTCATGAATGAGTCTGGTCTCGCCTGAGCCTTATCTTGAGGTTATCTTGAGGTGATTTCGGGGCTTTAGTGTCCCCGCGGCCCGGTCCTCGACCAGGCCTCCACCCCCAGGAAGCAGCCCGTAACAGTTGACTAACACCCAGGTACCTATTTTACCGCTAGGTAACAGGGGCATAGGGCGAAAGAAACTCTGCCCATTGTTTCTCGCCGGCGCCCGGGATCGAACCCGAGACCACAGGATCGCAAGTCCAGCGTGCTGTCCGCTGGGCCGACCGGCCCCCGCACGTGTGAGGGCCTCGTAGCCTGGTGGATAGCGCGCAGGACTCGTAATTCTGTTGCGCGGGTTCGATTCCCGCACGAGGCAGAAACAAATGGGCAAAGTTTCTTTCACCCTGAATGCCCCTGTTACATAGCAGTAAATAAATACCTGGGTGTTAGTCAGGTGTCACGGGCTGCTTCCTGGGGGTGGAGGCCTGGTCGAGGACCGGGCCGCGGGGACACTAAAGCCCCGAAATCATCTCAAGATAACCTCAAGATCTCAAGATAACCTCTGGACTCACCCTGGCTGCCTCCTGTCGAAGCATTGGTTCAGAGCACACCTGTTATACTAAAAAGCTTGTGACACACTACACACTTGTGACACCGACACACCTGCCAACTAACACACCTGCCCCTCCCTCCCCTCCCCCAAGCCACCCACTAACGCACGTGTCCTCTCCCACAGGTGCTCCACACGCAGGAGACAGATGACTGGACGCTGCAGGTGCAATATTCCCAGCCTCGAGACTCAGGCACTTACAAGTGTCAGGTCAACTCTGACCCCAAAATCGTCCGAAACGTCTTCCTGACTGTCACAGGTAAGTGTGGTTGTGTGTCTGGTATCACTGTACCTGAGGAAGGGGGGGGGGGGGGGTGTCAGTATACTTCAGAGTAAAGTATATCTTAATATATCTTATATTAAGCGTATCTTCAGTGTCGTTGATCAGTTTACCTCACTGATGGTATACAAAGAGGTCGGGGTCAGCAAGCAACAGGAGTTATGTAGCGTTTGGGCACCTCGGTGTTAGATATCTGTGTGTTTCATTATCTGGGTCAGTGTGTCTCATTATCTGGGTCAGTGTGTCTCATTATCAGGGTCAGAGTGTTTTATTAAATGGGTCAGACTCATTAACAGGGTCAGTGTCTCATTATCAGGGTCAGCGTGTCTCATTATCAGGGTCAGCGTGTCTCATTATCAGGGTCAGCGTGTCTCATTATCTGGGTCAGTGTGTCTCATTATCAGGGTCAGTGTTTCATTATCAGGGATAGAGTGTCTCATTATCAGGGGACAGCATGTCTCATTATCTGGGTCTGTGTGTCTCATTATCAGGGTCAGTTTGTCTCATTATTAGGGTCAGTGTGTCTCATTATTACGGTCAGAGTGTCTCATTATATGGGTCAGTGAATCATTATCAGGGTGAGTGTGTCTCATTATCAGGGTCAGTTTGTCTCATTATTAGAGTCAGTGTGTCTCATTATTACGGTCAGAGTGTCTCATTATATGGGTCAGTGTCTCATTAACAGGGTCAGTGTATCATTATCAGGGTCAGTGTGTCTCATTATCAGGGCCAGTGTGTCTCATTATCAGGGTCAGTGTGTCTCATTATCAGGGTCAGAGTGTCTCATTATCATTGTCAGTGTGTCTCATTATCAGGGTCAGTGTGTCTCATTATCAGGGTTAGAGTGTCTCATTATCAGGGTCAGTGTGTCTCATTATCAGGGTCAGTGTGTCTCATTATCAGGGTCAGTGTGTCACAGTGGCAGGAGTAAGACTACGTCTATTGGTTTTGGACACTGGGTGTGCGCTTGATATTAGTGTGCGAAATGTCGCCAGTCCTAACCCCCCCACCCCTTCTCCCCCTTTTCCACCTCCCCCCCCAGCTCCCCTTCTCCCCCCCCCCAGCCCGAATACTACACTGTCAACAATCAGTGTAACAGTGTGTCTGAGGTGAGTGTAGTGAAGAATTGAAAAGTGAGGCAAAGGAACAGAAGAATTAAAAACCTAGAACATGAAATAAGTTGTTAAGAACCAAGTACTTGAGTAATGTACGTTCTCTCCAATCATTCCTCCCCCCTCACCCCCGCCCCATCCCTAATCCTTCTCCTGACCCCCTTCTCAGTCCTGTATAGTAGTATTGGCTTGGCGCTTTCCCTACGGGCTCACCATAGCCCGTGCTACATGGACATTTCGTTATGAGTAGATAAATCGAAAACAACAACAACGGCGCTTTCCCTTGATAGTTTCCTTCCCTTCTCTCCAATCTCTCATATCCCACTGTATGTCCTCATGACCATTTGAAGTGATATATCCTCAAACTGCATTTTTAGCAGAATAACTGGCTTGCCTCGTCGAGGTATGCAGCACCGTCACTCCTGCAATAACTAGTCTCCGTGGAACAGCTTTTAGTGTCCAAGCACCGTAGGCAGCGGTGTGACGCTTCATTAATTGCTGCAACACAAAGAAGCACGAAGAAAAAGTGGGGAAGTGTTTTGTGTGGTAAATTTGGACTTCTCTAGAAGGTCTATAATTACCGACTTGAATATAGCGTCAAGAGTCGCTTCTGGCGTACAGACCCAACACCTCCCGTCACTTCCTGTTCTATTTAGCGGGAGATGCGGGCCGCACAATGCTCCACGTAGCCTAAAACGCGGTCCACACCATTCTCCCTGCAGCGTAAGATGCAGGCCGCGTCATGTTCCCTTTAGCGTAAGATGCCAACTGCTCCATGCTCAATTTACCGTCAAGTGCAGGCCGCACACTTCCTCCTTTACCTTAAGATACAAGCCACATCCTGCACCGTTTCCTGCGGCGGTGCAATTCGCTGTTGACGACACCACAAGTGTGGCTCAAGTCCTGCCGTAACTCCTCACAAGTGTGTCGTCAGTTTCTCCTCCCCGGCCACCGGCCTCTTTCCTCCGTGTCCATTTGTGCTGTGCGGCCACGATTTACGCGGAGCTGATCTCACGTCCAGGATTGACTGGCCAAGTTCCCATAGCTTCCTGCCCCTTCACTCGCCGATAATGGCGAGGACCTTCAACGCGAGACGTCTTCGAGTTGAAACTTTTGTTTGCAGGAGGATCCCGCGATGGTACGTTTTAACGCAAGACAGTTCTCGGACTGAGTCGTTGCAACCAGAGACGTTCTCGGGCTTATACGTTCATACAGGAGAGGTTCCAGGGCTGACATGTTTATACAATGAGAGGTTCCAGGGCTGGCATGTTTATACAATGAGAGTTTCCAGGGCTGGCATGTTTATACAATGAGAGGTTCGAGGGCTGGCATGTTTATACAATGAGAGTTTCCAGGGCTGGCATGTTTTTACAATGAGAGGTTCCAGGGCTGGCATGTTTATACAATGAGAGGTTCCAGGGCAGACATGTTTCTACAATGAGAGGTTCCAGGGCTGACATGTTTATACAATGAGAGGTTCCAGGGCAGTCATGTTTATACAATGAGAGGTTCCAGGGCTGACATGTTTATACAATGAGAGGTTCCAGGGCTGGCATGTTTATACAATGAGAGTTTCCAGGGCTGGCATGTTTTTACAATGAGAGGTTCCAGGGCTGGCATGTTTATACAATGAGAGGTTCCAGGGCAGACATGTTTATACAATGAGATGTTCCAGGGCTGATATGTTTATACAATGAGATGCTCCAGGACTGATATGTTTGCAAGCAAGAGGTTGCAATGCACACGATGTCTTTCTGACGATGTAGCATGTTCCCTGACTTGTTCATATATGAACTAGGGAAGCTGCAGACAGCTCATATATACGTGCAACACAACTCGTTAATGTAGGATGAACACTGTTATGAGCCCCAATTGAATGTTATGGGGGAGTGAACCTACAGCATCGCTGGAAAACATAGCCTTGCCAATAATCAATAGAGGTCAAAGGGAGTTCAAGGCTAGTAAAAAACATTTCAGTTAACTGGGAATAAAACATGTCAGCATAACACCATAAGAAACTCCAATTTCTATAATTCACATTCTATTACTTAATCCAGTTTCTTAAGCTTTGCATGATCATCAATAGGCCTCAAAACGGCATACACTCAGCACTAGCTGACACCAGGCTCTATCCTGGAGCAGTGGGGCACTAGCGCCTATTATGCTGCTAATACCAATACAGGATGGTGGTGTCACGATCATTAACAAATGAGGTTGAGGAATCAATATCAACATAGCACAATGGCGTCACTTGAGATCCTCAGGAGGGAGCCGGTCGGCCGAGCGGACAGCACACTGTACTTGTGATCCTGTGGTCCTGGGTTCGATCCCAGGCGCCGGCGAGAAACAATGGGCAAAAGTTTCTTTCACCCTATGCCCCTGTTACCTAGCAGTAAAAATAGGTACCTGGGTGTTAGTCAGCTGTCACTGGCTGCTTCCTGTGGGTGGAGGCCTGGTCGAGGACCGGGCCGCGGGGACACTAAAAAAGCCCCGAAATCATCTCAAGATAACCTCAAGATAACCCACCTCAATAATACATATAAAAACACCTACCATCTGGTGTAAAATGATGATACAACGGTAGAAATGATCCATGGTATACACTACTGCATCATACTAAATATCCTAGCAGTCAATTAACACAAATAAGGCCACTAAATCTGAACCGGGACGACAGCACATCCACGTGACTAGGAAAATCAAAGAGTAGTGACCGCCAAGGAGGCAAGCAGGCCGAGAGCCACACTGCTTCCAAATCCACAACCTTGCTGACACTTCTTTCAAATATCACAAGCTCATGTACAGACATTTCTCAATCAAGAACATCTAATTCATACAATAACTAAACAAGGATTATAACACACAACCTTACACAATAATACATGTCAGTAATTCAATATATAAAAGATTATATCATGATATATAATTATGTCAACAAGGAATTCATATTAGCAAGACATGGTAACACTGGCTGGATTCGGTACACAAGGGGAGGAGAGGGAAGGGGGCGTTTAGCCCTTGCACTGCTCACCTATTTTCGGCAAAAACGTCTTGGTGCAATTGTCAAGGACATATTTTTGTTATTTTTACAAATGTTCAGATAAATTTAATGTCAAAATGTTTCCAAAGTCAACTATTTCCATTTCAAAACACAAATAGTAATGAAAACATTAAAAAACATTAAAATATGGCTAAATTAAAAAACAAAAAGCACAACTCTCTGAGCGCCTAAAGGCGCTTTGCGCAGTGCAGTGGTTAGGGAGGATTTCAAGACGTTACCGGTTAGCCGTCATACACAGTATACTTGAAAACAATATAAAGGATCATATACCAAAATAAGTAACAAAACCTTATCTCTTATCTTATCTTATCTCTTATCTAACAATACCAGAATATAAATTGCTGTCATGACAAAAGGACAATGCAATGAACAATAATGATATGAATATTACACAGTATACATGCTAGTAATACACCTGAGACCTAAATGTATACATTCCACATCATAATACCCATTGTATGTCCTATACAGCAATATGTAGCATTCCATGATATAAGCACATAATGGTGTTTTCCAAGCTACATGACATTAGACTCCTGCTATTCACTACACTTTCAATATATCCACAAATACATGGCATACAACTTTGATATTGATATATAATATACATAGGAATATTAGACATACATTAGCAATACACAATTTATACCAGAATATTGTCGAAAGAAGAATAGATAAATAATATAATATTTGTGATACTAGGCTAATCAGCCAAGATTAGCTATAATCTTGATGATGATTAGCTATAATCTTGAGTAGTTTGATGTGTTCAAACTATACAGTTTGAGCACATTATACACCAGCCA